AAAAAACCTCTTCCACCCTCTACCCATTCACAGTTTCAGAACTGCTTTCACATTTCAAGTATCTGTTAAAGCAGCTACTTTACTCCAAGGGAAGATTTTTTTTCTCTCTTTAGGCTCTGGGAGAAGGTCCTTGTCATCAATCTTCCTGTGGTCTATTTGCTTCTCAGTACAGGGACCCTGAGTCCAAAGGACATGCTCCGCTCCTGGCTCTTCTTGCTTGGTGGTAATGAGGTGCCTCTCCTCTCTACTCGCTTCTCTCTTTTATATCTCAAAAGAGATTGACTTAAGATACAGCCTAATCCTGTAGATTGTATCCTGCCTCATTAATATAACTGCCTCAGTTCTGCCTCAGTAACATCATAAAACAAAACAAAACCCGTTGCTGTAGAATCGATGCAGATTCATAGCAACTCTGTAGGACAGAGTAGAACTGCCTCGTAGGATTTTGAAGGAGTGACTGGTGGATTCAAACTGCTGACCTTTTGGTTAGCAGCTGAGCTCTTAACCACTGCACCACCAGGGCTCCCATTAACATCATAGAGGTTAGGATTTACAACACGTAGGATAATCACATCAGATCACAGAGTGAAGGACAACCACACAATACTGGGAATCATGGCCTAGCCAAGTTGACACACATTTTTGGGGGACACAGTTCAATCCATAACAACATTCTTGCCATATGGATGATTTTTCTACTGATCTCGTCCATCATTTTATCCTGATCTGATACTTGGAGTGTGTTCCCATAACTCAGCAATTTTTTCCATATCCCCTGCATGCATTTTCCTGTAACTTCCTCCCAGGAAGATGCAAATGTTCCAGGTACACTGATGGTCATAAGTGCGGTTCATCATAATTCGAATACATCATAGGTTGGGGACTACCTGTACTTCATTTCTTTATGTGGCTTTGTATTGTATTGGTTCTGGACATGCTGTTTACCTCTTCCTGTGTTTACTAGAGCAAAAGTAGGTTCTGACAAATGGCTTCCAAGACCTCCTATGTACCAAGATACAAAGATGGTTAAGACTTAGTCTTTGCACTTAGGAGGCTGGAAGTCTGGGAAAGAGACTTGTACACAAATACCAAGCAGTCTCAAAAGAGCATGTGTACTTTGATTGCAATGGTATTGCATATACAGAAGGTGGTGTAGAGAATGGAAATCATTTTAGATTGTTGGGATTTGCTTTACAATATTCTTTAATGTATGACTTTTTTACTTAAATTGGGAAAAAAATGGGAAAGTTGGAAAAAGGGGTGGACAAAGTGCTCTGAGGAGGCGGAGTTACTGACTGCCGGGTAGTTAAAGAGTGCCTCAAAGAAGAGAGGGCATTTGAGTGGTAAGAATATGCTGTCATTGTCAGTGAAGTCCCAAGGGGAAGGGACATCAAGACAGTAGAAACAGCTTCGTGGTCTGCTTTAAGAGAGAGGTGATCTTTAGAATCCTGTCATTTGTCTTAACACTTCAAAATTATTTTACATAGGATGGAAATGGGGTGAGATGAAAACATTTTGAAAATCACAAAGCGCCATATGTATGTGTCTGGGCTGAGTGTCTGAGAGATCTCTCTTTAAAAATGGGGCCCTCCTTTCCCACTGCTACTTGGTGGTTGCAGGATTAGACCCTGCCTGGTTAGGTATTTGACCTAGTCCTTCCCTTCTAGACCACGTGGGTTAACTTTTCATTCTGGTTTGCCAAAAGGTTAAACTTCGGTTTCTCGTGTGTGTGTGTGTGTGTGTGTGTGTGTGTGTGTGTGTGTGTATGTATTGCACACACATCTGTGTCTAGCACTTGCAAAAGCTTTTATGAGATACACATACACACTTTTTTTTCTTTTATATACGTGGAACATCTCTGGAAGAATACCCAAGAAACAACAGTGGATGCCTCTAGGGGTAGGAGATTTCATTATACTCCTTGAATCGTTTGAATTTTTTTTACTGTGTGTGTGTATTACCTATTAAAACTTTGTTTGTTTTTCCTTAAGAGAAACAGGCTTTGTGTACAACCACAATGAGATGGGAAGATACTGTGATAAACTGATGAGGGCCTAAACTGAGACACAATGACAGGTGTGATGGAGGAGAGGATGGCTGGATTTGAGAGAAATTTCTGAGGCAGAATCAATAGAATTTGAATGGGGGTTGATCAAGGAGGTGAGGGGTTGGAGATGGAGGAGGAGGAATTTATGATGACTCCAGGATTCCAAGCTTGGGAAACTGGCTGGCCAGTGATGCCATCAGCCAGTGACCAGAAGGCAGAGCAGTGCAGGACAAGGACAGGATGTGTGAGGTGTTGAGGGACATTTTTGTAGAGCTGTCCAGGAGGCAGTTGAAAATCTAAGTTGGGAGCCTCGGGGAGCAGTCAGGACTTGAAGGCGATGAAAATGCTCAGGGAATAAGCAATAGTGGGTGAGAAGAGGATCACGAAGTGCCCTTCCACAGGGCAGAAGAGGAAATTAGCAGAAAGACTAATGCAGTGTAATGGATTGCTTTTGTGTGGCCTTTCTAGCCATGGTCTTGTAACTTCCACCCAAGTGAATGGGCAGGACTGTGCAGATATAATGATTATGGCCCACCAAAGGGATTGGTCAGTTTTGCCATCCCGCTGGGCTTGAAATGAGCCACCCCAGAGGCAGGAAAAAGAGAATCCCACCACCGTCAAGGAAGAAGAGCCAGCACATCCTTTGGAACTAGGACCCCTGTGCTGAGAAGCTCCTGGAACCAGAAGACAGAACTGTAACACTAAAGGCAGCGAGAAGCGACAGCAGAGACTCGGCAGCAGGAGACTACACGGTGGGCTTCCTGGCCCAGGGAGAGAGAAAGCTGAGTGCCTTTGGGCAGAGGCCTAGGGCCAGGGAGAGGTGTGCCTGTGAGCGCAGCTGGGAAGAGGCTGTCCTGATGGAAGAACTGTATCCTTGAGTGTTCCTGAGCTTGAATTGTAACTGTTACTTCCCTAATAAATCCCATAATTGTGAGTATGGTCTGTGAGTTCTGTGTGGCCATTGCAATGAATTATTGAACCCAGCAGAGAAGTAGAGAGAGAGTATCGTGGGAGGGACGATTGGTGTCAGAATTGGTAAAGATGGCGAAGAAAGGAGGCGTGTCTGATCCCTGCCTCATAGGAATCAGCCTTGGGCTGTTGATCTTGATTCTTCTTTCCTCTTGTGAAGTTACAGGAGGTCAGACACTGCCCCCACACCATTTGTACAACTAACCAGAGTGGTTGGAGACATTGGAGGCCTGGAAATCCAGAGAGCAGAGCTCTGAGAAGCAGTGTGTGGCCAGTGCAGCGGAGCAGTCCAGAAACTGACAGGTAATCACTGGGGACTTGAGTGAGAGATAGACTGTACCGAGTTGAGGAGTGAATGGTAAGGAGTAATGGTGAGAAGTTAAGTATGGTGAGGATATATCTTTTTTTAATAAAATAACACATTTTTATTTAAAATACCTTTTGTAAGTAGTTTTATGGTAAAGGATGAGGATTCATTCTGTAAGCATTAATTGAGATTCCACTGTGCGCCAGACTTGGTAGTAGGTACTGAGGCTAAAGTGGTCCCCGCCCTCAAAGATCTGACAGGCTAGGGGAGGAAACAACTGCTTACAAAGAGAGTTCAATATGATTTGGTAGGTACAGTGGTAGAGGGATGCACAGGGTGTTATAGGAACACAAAGATAGGTACCTTAACCCAGCCTAGGCGACTGAGGGCTTCCATCAGTGATTAGTGGAGGAGGTGACTTGGCACTAAGTTAAGTATTAAAGAATAAATAGTTAAATCAGGCAGAAAGATGAGGACTGATCTGGTCGTGGGAAGAACATCACGGATAGAGGGAAGAGCATGACCATAGGGTGTGGGGATAAGAAATCACACGGGGCGTGTGTGGTCAAAAGACATGTAGTTTAGTATTGCTGGAATATAAAACCTGAGGCAGAGAGTGATGGGAGGTTGAGGGGGCAGGTTGTGGGTAGAAACCTTCATGGGGACCTTGTGCCCAGTGTTAAGGGCTTGACTTATTCTGAAGGTAGGGTATTGGAAGCTTTTGGTAGGGAGTGAAATGATCATGCTTGTCTTTTAGGTAGATGGTTCTGGGGGCTGTGTGAGGGTGGATTTGATGGAGATGAGAATGCAGGCAGGGAAACTGCTTAGAAGGGTCCCGCATAAGTTACACTGAGACAGCCTGACATGGCTGGAACTGATGATCAAGGGATAAAAAGAAGTGGCCAGAGTCCAGAAACATTCAGGCAGGAAATCAGTAAGAGTGGTAATTAATTGGACATGGAAACTGAGGGAGAAGGGGGAGTTGAAAATAACTCAGTTTCTAGCATAGGTGGCTGAATAGGTGATGGTGGCAGCAACAGAGAAAGCATGCTACAACAGAGGAGTAGTTTTGGAGGGTGCAGTGTAACACAAGGAATTGTCTAAATTCATGAGGGATAAGAATGAGAAACAGCGCAAAGCTGGTTCCTGTGAGGTGGAGGTGAGATATACCTGCGCTCTCCAACTTCTTCACCATTTCTGATACTAGCTCTTCTCCACACAGCACCCTCTATACAGTAGTCCCACCTTATCCATGGTTTCACTTTCCGTGGTTTAAGTTACCCGTGGTCAGCCGAGGTCCAAAAGTGTTAAATGAGTAGCGTGATAAAATCTCATGCTGCCCTGCTCCATCATTCACATGACTTTTATTACAGTATATTGTTATATAATTGTTCTATTTTATTATTAGCTCTTGTTGTTAATCTCTTACTGTGTCTAATTTATAAATTAAAGTTTATCATAGGTATGTACGTATGGGACAAAACATAGTATATGTAAGGCTCAATACTATCCACAGTTTCAGGCATCCACTGGGGGTCTTGGAACGTATACCCCGCGGATAAGGAGGGACTAGTGTATACTTCTCTGCTAGGTTCGATAATTTGGAGCAAAAGCCACACAGAACTCACAGACCATACAGTTATGTGGTTTATTAGGGAAATAGCAGGGTACTACTCAGGATCAGGATCAACTTGGAAATAACAGGAACAACTCAGGATCAGGACAGCTTTCTCACTGGATAGTCCTTGAACCAAAAATGTTCCCTGCCAGTGCAGATAAGACCTCTGACCTTGGACAGTTGTCCCCCAGCTGTGGGGCCTCTCCTCTGTTGACTTCTCTGCTGCTAACTGGCCCTGCTCAGAGCCAGTGCAGCAGCTTTGGACTGTGTATAGCTTTTAGCTGGCAGCTCTCTCAGCTGCAGCTTTTTTTTCTTTTTTTACCAGACCTGGGAGTGACTTCTATGTCCCATGCTCCCCTCCAGGCTCCTGTCAACCAGGAGGACTTGAAAACCTCTGTGTTTCAGCCTTTCTTATATACCAGGCCACATCAGTTGTAAGAAGGGGCCTCGGTCACCAGACCAGAGTTCAACCAATTGTCAGTTACCCACGAGATGTCAGTCAACTTAGGTCTTTTGCAAAAGTAACATTCTCTGCCAGCCAACACACTGGCTCCTCCCTTGGGCAAAAGTAACAAACCCTCTGGGGTAGATAGCAAACTCAGAGCTCTGCTAACTTGCTTCTCCAAGAACTGGGGCAAAGGTAATAACTTCTTGGTTTGGGGGAAAAAAATATCCCAATCTGTTTTTCCAAAGAGGCAGGGCAAAAGGCCACGTAAAGGAACTCATTGCACCACAGAGGACAGCGGGGTGGTGAATTCAGTTTCAGTTTTATTGAGATACAATTCACGTACCGTACAATTCAGTATTTTTTAGTATATTCATAGGGTTGCACAGCTATCACCACAATCTAATTTCACAACATTTTTTAAAAAGCTTTTTCTTATGGATCATTTCTAATATACAGGGATAGAATCAATAAGAAATGTCCAAATTGAACATAGTGATTGGGATCAGCCCTGATAGAGATGTGCAGCCGACACGAGGATCTAAGATTCTAAACCTTGGGGAAGTCATCTGGGCTAGAGATAGATTTGGGGGCCATTACCATGTGGGTCATAGTCGATGTGGTATCTTGTAGGGGCCAAGGAAGAAGACTGCTTTTAAAAAGTTTGAAATAGTGGATGTACATTAAAAATGTACTTAACTGGGAGGGCAGGAGGAGAGTGGAGGTTCATGACAGGAGAGAGGTGGTGTGGAATAGTAAAAATTATTTATCTTAAAGTTCCTGCCAAGTCCCTGACACTACTAATCATTGGGGTAGGGATAGTAGAGGGGATTGTTGATGGAAGCAGAGATTTCCGTTCTTGCCTGAAGAGCTTCCAGTATGGTTGGGGAAGAAAAGATACATCTATCTCAATTGGCTAGAAAGCCATTTATTAAGGTATGTTGGTGTTTTAGTTATCTAGTGTTGCTATAACATAAATACCACAAGTGGATGGCTTTAACAAACCAAAATTTATTTTCTCAAACAGGAGGCTAGAAGTCTGAATTCAGGATGCCAGCTCTAGGGGAAGGCTTTCTCTTTCTGTCGGCTCTGGAGGAAGGTCCTTGCCTCTTCTGAGCTTCTGCTCCTGGGCAGTCTTCATGTGGCTTGGCATCTCTCTTCCCCCATCTCTGCTGCTTGTTTAATCTATTTAATCTCAAAAGAAATTGACTCAAGATATACCCTACATTAATCCTGCCACATTAACATAACAAAGACAGCCCAGTCCCAAACGGGATTATAACCACAAGCATAGAGGTTAGGATTTACAACGCATGTTTTGGGGGGGACATAATTCAATCTGTAACAGTCCACTCTTTGGCCCACCAAAACTCATGTCATTGTCACGTGCAAAACACGTTCACCCCATCACATCATCCCAAAAGTCTTAAATCAACTCCAGGTCCGAAATCTCATCTTTTGAATCATCTAAATCAAATATGGGTGAGACTTTAGTCATATTCCATCCTGGGGCAAAATTCCCCTTCATCTGTGAACCTGTTACCTATTTCCAAAGTATAGTGGTAGAACAGGCACAAAGTGGACATTTCCATTACAAATGGGAAAAGTTGGAGGGAAAGAGGGGATAACAGTTACCAAGCAAGTCTCAAACCCAGCAGAACAATTTACATTAGCTCTCAAGGCTTGAAAATAATCCTCTGTTCTCTGAGACCATCTAGGCGATGGCCCTGCCCTCCAGACTCTGGGTGTTGGCCATGCCCTCTGGATTCTGGGTAGAGGCCCCTCGGTCCTGGGCTTCAGCTTACACCTTCCAGGCCCCCTGGGATGGCAACACTGCTCCCTTAGCTTTAGGTTGGCCCCATTCTCCTAGTCCATCTGAGTAGTGACCCCACCTCCTTGGCCCCAGCAGTCCCCATTCTTCTGCTCCTTGGCATGGCAGCCCTACATCCTCAGCTTTACATGGCAGCCCCATCCCCTGACACACCTTAATGGCAGCCCCACACTCTGGATCCAACTCTTTGAAACCTAGGAGGCTCTAGCCCCACCCTTTGAGATCCAGGAGACCGTGGCCCCACCCTTTGAAACCAAGAAAGCCCTGTTTCCCGTGCTCCTTCCAACAGTTCTGCTGATCTACAGGCTGCTCCAGGAATGGTCCTTTTCTTTTCTTGGAGGACAATAGATGTAGCTCCTTTGGCCTGTTTCCTGCCTGTAGAATTCCAAGAGGCAGACAGCATTTTTTCCTTTCATTCTTTCTCTGTCCCCTTCAGTCTAAGCTGATGGGTTTTCTGCTGTGGTAGTTAGTTAGATTCATCGGTCACAGGCTTAATCTCTTTAACAAAAGATTGTGTAGCCATGTCCTTGGTGAACATTCTAGGACACGTGTCCTTAGTTTGTACAACAGAATTTTCCAAATCTTTAAGTTCTGTTTTCATTTTGCACAGTTCATTTCTAAGTCCATCTCTTTTCTCTCATATTTTACTATAAGTGGCAAGGAGGAAACCATGCAGCCCGTTTAAGATCTTGCTTATAATCCTCCTCAGCCAGGTACCCAGATTCATCATTTGCAAATTCTACCTTCCACGAAACATTTGAACGTAATTCAGACAAGTTCTTTGCCACTGTATAAAAAGTATGCCCTTCCTCCATTGTCCAGTCACATGTTCATCATTTTCTTTTAAAGCCTCACCAGAAGCCCATTTAACATCCACATTTCTAGCAACATTCTGTTGCTGGCGCCATATGTATTCTCTAAGACAATAGAGACCTTCTCTATAGCCCTCCTCATTTCCTTCAGAGCCCTCACCAGAATTGCCTTTGATGTCTGTAATTCTACCAACAGTCTCTTCAGGGCAATTTAGGATTTTACTATCAGGCACCTTAAAACTTTTCCAACCCTAACCCTAACCCATTACCCAATTCCAAAACCGGTTCCA